GCAACCCGATCCTACTCAAATGTACACAGTTCAGACTAACACAGGAAGGGCTGGTGTTTCCCTTTAGAGCCACAGACCTGCAGGCTTCACTGGGAGAACCAGGATGTTAGTATAAAGACCTGGACATCACGCCAACTTATAAAATTATCCGGTCCAGCTGGAGCAAGAAGAGGAGACAGAATGGGACTGCAGGACCCTACTGGGCTCTTTCAGCCTGGAGTGATCAGATCTGTTCTGATTTGGTCAGGCTGATATTATAAACGTCTAACTGGGTGAGGTGGAAGAGAGGACGGGGGTTCATCTGTTGGTTCCAAAACCAGACCCCCCTGTTCTACGGAGCTAGACAGTGTAGACTGTAGCTGTTGAGGACAAGTGCCTGTCTCTGGATGTATACCACACCCCGCCAGCTGGGGGCGCCGTGCACAGCACCAGGACCTACCTGCAGTTTCCACAGGAAGTCCAGCCGCGCGGTGGACTCCACCTGCTGGGCGTGAAGGTACAGCGCCAGGACGAACACCGTCAGGATGACCGGGGTCATCAGCTTCAGTGGCACCTTGGTCATGTTGTCCCAGCTACTGTTCACACACACACAGACGCACAAGTCACACAGTCGGTCCATCTCAAATCCCCAACGTCCAGCGGCGCCTGACCTGCTCTGAAGCTCTGGGAGGGAGGTGTGACCCCGCTGCCCCTCTGGAAAAGGGGAGCTCGTTAGGCGAGACAGAGGGGTGACCTCTAGTGCCCACTCCCCCACACTCTTCGAACAAGAGAGTTGCCGTCCCATCAGCGCTGCGGCCGAGCAGGAGCCTGTCCAAAACGTGCTCGTGTCCTGCCCTTCTGTAGCTGCCCTTTGACAGCGGTCACCCGCCGGAGGAGGAGGAGGGGCTGTTCTGGCGCTCTAAGACAGGCAGGGGGCGCCAGGGAGGCCCTGGTAACTCCAGCCTCGGAAGTTAGCGCGGCGCTGGTCTGCGGGATGTGACCAGGACGAGCCACGCTCATAGGTTAGTGTGCTGTGTCCTCTCCAAAGCGCCTCAAACCACACAAGGAGGAAACAGAGGGACCGGCCTGCTGGCGCCCCTGGGGCAGTCGCAGCTCGCAGGGCAGAGGACGTCCTCTGTAAGAACCTCAGACGGGTCACTAACGAGGGCAGGTGCAGAAAACACCATGAAGGGCCTGAGAGCTGACCAGGGCTTGCTCAGCTGAGCTCAGCCACTGGTCCTGGAGCAGAGCTGTGTCCTGCACTACTGCTGCTGCTGAACACGAGTCTCCTTACACTGGCAGAGAGACAGACAGGCAGGCAGAGAGACAGACAGGCAAGGACACAGACAGGCAGAGACACAGACAGACAGGCAGAGAGACAGACAGGCAAGGACACAAACAGGCAGAGAGACAGACAGGCAGAGAGACAGACAGGCAGGCAAGGACACAGACAGGCAGAGAGACAGACAGACAGGCAAGGACACAGACAGGCAGGGACACAGACAGGCAGAGAAACAGACAGACAGGCAAGGACACAGACAGACAGGGATACAGACAGACAGGCAGGGACACAGACAGGCAGAGAGACAGACAGACAGACAGGCAAGGACACAACCAGACAGGCAGGGACACAGACAGACAGGGACACAGGTAGACAGAAAGAGCATTTACCATTGGTCTGTCTCGTTGGTGGAGGACCTGGGCAAAGAGAAAAAAGCAATAATGAGTATCTGTTACTGACAAGCAGGGCAAGACTACTGGACAACGGTTAACTGAACCGAGCAGGTGGAAAACTGTCAACTTACCACTGCTCTGTGTCATTCCAATGTCTGGGGAAAAAAAAGGCAAAAGGGCAGATTAAGCACGAGTCTGAACCAGAACAGGGAAAGAGGGCGCGAGGGGGGCGTGCCAAAGAGCATGGCAAGAGGCAAGAGGAAGAATTCGGGGTGAATGGTGGAATGAGAAGTGCCAGGGGCAATGGGGAGAGAGCATCCTGAGAGGAGGTCACAGGTCATGGCCCAGGCTCAGACTGGGCAGGTGACTGGGACCACGATTCCCCAAGCGGGTGGACACGAGTCAGGCCAGCTGCTCTCCTGCTCCAGCAGGACAGCGCAGTGGAGCTCCAGGCATGTGGAATGGTGAACGGCTCCGATGAGCATATCAGCAAGAGTCAGAGGTCAGGAAGCATGTCTGTCGGTGTGCGTGTCAGGTGGGCATATCAGCAAGAGGACGGGTCAGGGGGCGTGTCAGGTGGGCATATCAGCAAGAGGACGGGTCAGGGGTCGTGTCAGGTGGGCATATCAGCAAGAGGACGGGTCAGGGGGCGTGTCAGGTGGGCATATCAGCAAGAGGACGGGTCAGGGGGCGTGTCAGGTGGGCATATCAGCAAGAGGACGGGTCAGGGGTCGTGTCAGGTGGACATATCACCAAGAGGACGGGTCAGGGGTCTTGTCAGGTGGGCATATCGGCAAGAGGATGGGTCAGGGGTCATGTCTACAGGTGGGCTGTCAGGGGTGTGTCCATGGGTGGGCATATCATGTGGGGCCTGTCTGTAAGTGGGCGTGTCTGCAGGTGGGCAAGGCAGATGGCCTTGTCTGCAGGTGGGCGTGTCTGGTGGGCTGGTGAGCATACTATTAGCAGGTCCAAATAGGGTGGGAATACAATGGAGCAAGAACTGTGAGAGCGGTCCGATCAGGGGGGCTATAAGCATAAACCAGGCCAGCAGTGCAAGGCTGAGAGGGAATAGCAAGACCAGGTGACGATGAGGGGCGACTGCAAGGCTGGGGTCGGGACAGGCAAGCTGGACGACTCACAGCGCGTTGGCGGTGACGAAGAGGTCGGCGTTGTCAAACAGGGCCACCTCGGGCCACTCCACGATGACCAGGTACGCCAACTGGATCAGCAGCATCAGCGCCAGCTTCCCAATGCTGCTGATTTGCAGGAACACCGAGCACGCCAGCAGGGTGAGGAGCACACTGTAGCTGAAATACTGAACACAGCGAGACACTACTGGACACAGCACACTGTAGATGAAATACTGAACACAGCGAGACAATACTGGACACATCGAGACAATGCTGAACACAGCACACTGTGGCTGAAGTCCCGAACACAGCAAGACAATACTGTACACAGCACACTGTAGCTGAAGTCCTGAACACAGCTAGACAATACTGGACATAGCACACTGTGGCTGAAATACTGAACACACAGCTAGACAATCCTGAACACAGCACACTGTAGCTGAAATACTGAGAGAAAAGCATTCCTGAACATAGCAAGACAATGCTGAACACAGCTGAAATACAGAGTTAGAGAGACTGGCCAGTGCACACAGACAGGAGACAGGAAGGACAGACTGAAAGGATTCAAAGCACCTGCATACACACGTTCTCCCTGACCCCCGACCCCCGACCCCCAGCCCGCCACACACTCACCTCGGGGAAGATACAGGGCGGGGCATCCCCCGGGCACAGCACCAGCCCCTCCCCGGCCGACAGGGTGAGGTTGCGGATGTGGCACAGGCCCACCTGGTCGACGGTGGTGTTGAGGCTCTGCGCCACGCACTCCGGCAGGCTCTCCCTGCTGCAGGCGAACTGCGAACAGCGAGACAGAACAGGAGCTCTCGACACGCTGGGAGTCTGACTGAAGGGCCAGAGAAACACCCAGCGAGAGCGCCTGGCCCAGCCGGATTTTCCCAGCTTTGGAAATGCAAGGACATATTAAGGCTGATTTCCGCACCCCAATCCCCACTCCCCCGTGACCATTTCCTGTGCTACCTCTGCCACACAGCAAGGCCATCCTGCTGGAATAGCCCGTTCCAGTGTCCTTATTAGAATCCGCCATGATTCTTCCACTCAGGCAGGAGTTCAGAGGTGTGCCTGTGCTGTGTGAGACAGCGTGCACTATATTATCCTCACAGAGTGAGGTAACAGTGTGCAGAAAGCTCATCTCTCCACTCCATCCATCCATTTTCTAACTGCTTTGTCCAATACAGGGTCGTGGGTGAGCCGGGGCCTATCCCAGCAGGCAATGGGCACAAGGTACACCCTGGACAGGACACCAGTCCTTGGCAGGGCACACACAGATACACACAGAGACTCGCACCAGGGACAATTTTCCCCGAAGCCTAGTAGCCTACCAGCAATGTTAGGCACTGCGCCACTGACATCACTTATTTTTAAAGGCATTTCCTAACCCACATGCAGTCCTGCCACAAAACTAGAGAATACCCATATCCTTGCTCCATCTCTAGGGCAATTCCAGATGCAGCAGTGGGACTTCAGTTCTACTATATGTACACAGATGTCTGTGGAAATACAGGCCAGATTGGTAGTTGTCTCACAACACAATCCGGGGTTCAGTAGCTTCTTGTGACCAGTAAACCCTCGAGGCTGTCTCAAGGTATACATTAGCCAGGTCTGCTGTTGCCTTCAGAAAAGCTCCAGATGCACTGACAGTTATGCCACTTGTGAGGTTACACTCTCCAGCTCTCTTTCCAATAACAGAGCTCACACTTATGGTGCTGAAGAATCATGGGAAATACTTCATGATGAGTAATTCCCAATACTTTGGACAGGGCAGGTCACTCACAACGAACATATTACTGTCAAGTAATTTGGTAGGGCGATCTGAGGGGGCAGGACCTTTGTATGCTAGGCTGAAAAGTGAGGCATTACCATGTTGACAAAGGCAGAGATGAAGACCAGAATGATGGTGAAGACTCCCACCAGCGTGCTGTTGGTGCGAGACTGTACAATCTTCTTCGACACTGTCTGCATGGCGGCCGGGAATAACTGAGAGAGAGAGGGGTTAATACAGACACACTGACTGGACACTGCAGTTCATTAACACTGCACTGAGAGAGAGGGGTTAATACAGACACACTGACTGGACACTACAGTACACTAACACTGCACTGAGGGGGGTCAGAAAGAGCTGGAGCAATACCTAGGGGGAGGGGACGAGCCAGCACTCACCTTAATGCAGGAGTAGATGGCACAGATGAAGAGGATGTTGGCGAGGATGATGAAGATGCTGATGTAGATGCCCAACATGAGGGGTGTACTGCAGGAGAGAGAGGAGCCGTGTGAAGGACAGCAGCAGGGCCTCCCCGCCCCCCTCATCCCCGCGCACTGCCGTCTGTCGGGGTGACCCCAGTCCACCACCCCAACGGGCCACCAGACAGATCTGCTCCGGGGCAGGCAATCACCTCAGACCCCCCCCGGCGTGGAAACCGTGAAACTGGCACTGTCTGCTCTACCGCACCCCTAGCGGGAGGGTGGCTGCTGCCTGCCGGAGTGAGGCACGTCTCCGCAAACCTGGTGGCGCTGAGCCCACTGTGCGCCAGCACTACCAGTCACAGTCGGCTAGCGCCGCCGGAGACTCCGGCTGGCAACGCCTGGGCCTCCCGCAACCAGGTTTCACAGGACACGGGCGCACGGGGCCGCGCCTTTGGGCAAACTTCCTCCAGAGCCCCGGGCTCTGGTGTCGCACAGGGACTCACTGAGGAAAGATGACGATCTGGACGAAGGATATGAAACAGAAGACGAGGAGGGTGCAGGCCACGTAGCCCCCGAATCGGTCGTCCACCTTCTTGGAATACTGCGGGCAGAGAGACAGGCAGTGAGTCTTGTGCTCCTGGGCTCCTGGGCCTCTGTCCCTGCTGACCCACACAGTCCCAGTCTTGAGACCACATCCCAGGGTCCTGGGGAGGCCAGGTCCAGCAGGCAAGACCATGACTCGGCAGCTTCTAATCTCTCTTCGGCTTTCTCTTTGACCTCTGAGGGAGGTGATCTGGTCAGTGAAGCGCTTCAGAGATCACTTCACAAGAAAATCCCAGCACCCTGACAGAACTGAACCAGTTAACTCACTAAGCTGATCAAAACACACAATTTCCAGTCTTCACAAGATGATGACTTCACGGTGAGCAGTATTGAGACCCGCTGGACTGTTGATCTCCAGGACCAGGGTCAGTATTGAGACCTGCTGGACTGTGGTTCTCCAGGACCAGGGTCAGTA